ACTGTCTTCCCATTCATACCCAGGCTGTCCAACCTTCATACAGCTGAGCCAAGTTATCTAGATTAGTCGCTTCCTTAATGACATAGTCAACCTGTAGAAATAGGTAAGAGAGTATTTTAAACTATTTAAAACTAGAAAAACATGATTCACTAGGAGTTACACCAATTGTTTGAGACTGTTTTTTCCAATCACTAATTCTTTAGTTATTGTCCAAAGGATAAGCAGTGCTAAGGAAAAAAGAGTAAACAGGACTTTTGCTAATCCCACTGCTTACAGGAAGGATGGGTCTCAAAGTCACAGCTCCTTAAGAGTTTTACAAATTCTTAGCTGAAGAGCATCTTATTGACCTGAAAGGTACTCTCAGAGTAAGTCAGTATTTAAGTCACAGGGGAAATGCTTAGATGCCATATGAATACAGATTCTAGGGAACTCTGGTGTCCTAGGTGTTAAGAAGCTGTGTGGCAATCCCAAAGGCACACAGTTAGAATCCACCAGCTGCTCCAAGGGAGGACTGGAAATCTCCTCCCATGTGATTTACTGTCTCTGAAAAATCCACTGGTCAGACCTGGGTAGGTTCTGACTTCACGGCATACAACTACCACGACAGATTCCAGGAAACAGTTCAACATTATGTCCTTTGACTGGGACAGCTCTAATTTTTTTTTCCTCTAAGACGACCCAGAGCCACCAGCAGGACCAAACTAAGCCCAAAATGGTCTGCTGAAGCACAAACAATGCTGCTAAAGATGTGGCAAAGCCCTCAGACTCGTCAGAGAAGATGTAAAAACTATCAGAATAAAAAGCCAGGCATCAATTCCTTTAGCCTGTCATAAAAAAGCACAAAGCCCATGGGACATAGCAGTTTGTTTTTTGTGTGTTTTTTTTAAAAAAGCAAAACTTTAAACTCAATGCTGTCAGGCCGAAACTGCCTCATAGCTGACCTCTGGCGGGTTTTCAGAAGCTATAAAGCACACGAGCAGAGACTGTCTACCGTTCTTCTTTGAAGCAGCTGGTGGATCTGAACAACCAGAGGCACGCCACCTTAGGGTTATCAGTGTATTGCTTACTCACTAGGCCACTAGAGCTCCCTGTTTCTAAAGTAAAAATACTCCTCATGCGAGTATCTTCCATGGTTTCTGACAAAGAGTGATTCTTGCCCAAAAAGAATTTAAGCCAGGTGCTAAATAAATAATATTAGAACAGTGTTGAAAAGAAAAAATTATGGATGCCAGGCCACTGGAAAATAGGATATTCATCTCAACTTTCCAAGGACACTGTATACTAAACACAAAGAATACGCATCCCATTTTTAAAAAGAAAAATGAATCAAGGCAACAGACAAGGGAATTCATTAAATTTATATTATTTTGGCAGCATGAAAATGTGTAACTTAAGTTACCTGTTCAGCAACTGACATCCTCCTATTTGGATCAACATCTCGGCCTTCCAACTTGGCTTTCACTCTCTTCCACACGCTCACTGCATAGGAGTT